GCAGGTTTCAATAGAAGTGTCTTGTACTTACAACACACTACTAATTGCAAAATGCCACCATCCATGTATTGTGCTTCCATTTCAACCTTACCACTAAAGTTTCTTAAGTCAATAACACTGATTAATGGAAAGGGGGTGAAGGGAATTCTCAGGGAGAAAGTGCCATGCCATGACAACTATATAGCACTTGGAAGGCGTCGGGTTAAGGATTTGGAATGGGAAGGGGGTTGGAAGGAATGGTACCCAACCACTTGGACAGTCAGGGATTGAACGCTGACCTGCACGAAGCAAAACCGGCACTCTACCGTCTATTCCAAGTGATTAGGACAGACATATGAATGGAGCTTATACCTTTTATTATTATTATTATTATTATTGTAGCACATCTCAAATACATGCAAGATTATGGCAATGACTTGTGCCCTAATTGTGCTACAGTCTCCCCCAGTTGGTCCCTTCTTTTGATAATTACTTAATTTTCTGCCCTGTTAATAGTCAGACACTCATTTAGCTTAACACTGAAGTGGTCTAAGCGTGTTGTGAAGATTCCTTTCAACGTATTCCATTGTTCCTGTCGATGGAGAATTTCCTCATAGACCTATGAGCATCGCATCAGAAATAAATAATGTCTTCGATATTCCTAGAGTCAGACTAAATGCAAACATGCCATGCAAGTAAATGCACCCAGTCTATGGAACTCTCCCCCTAATTAAAAAAAATTCCAACTTGTACTTTATTCAAAAATAGAATGAATTCATCTATGCAGTATTGATGGAAATTGTTAGTAGCACTTTGTGTTACTAACTCGCTTAGCATGTTACAATCTACAAATGCAACATAAATTATCAGTATACAGGTACAGCAATTGATTTTATCACTATATTGTGATGTGATCTAGAATAGAGCAGTAACTATTCTGGCAATTGTTGTGCCAAACACACACATTAATAAAAAATATAATAATATAAAACTGCTTGGGTCCTCTACAGTGGGCAAAAAACAAAGAGAATAAAAACACAGCATTTAATATATAAAAAAATTACTTTAATGTCATACAAAATGATAAGTAACAATTAATGAAACCAAACCACAGCAGGGGACAACGAGGGGGGTGCGGACTGAACCAAAGCCAAAGCGACCAGCACCCCAAGTCCAGGTCCATATAACCAAAGCGGGGCAACCTCAGGGCATCCGGGGAAGCAACCAACCTAGCATGTTGCGGCAACCTATACCTGGCATGCAACGCCAGAGCCACCTGCACCCGAATAATGTCATCAGTAGATTGGGTAGATTGAGTCACAAACAAGCAACAATGCTCGCAGGACTCTGGGTCAAAGGTGTCACTGACCCAACAGGCAGCATGACGGAGACAAAAACAATGAGCGTTGCCCTGAGACAAGGGAACAGAGCAACTCTCAAACTCGCACAAGGCGAGAGGGGACCCAGGGGTCGCATCCATTGGACCCTGTGCACCCCCCATGGGGTTTCCCAGGGCCCCTAAACTGGTATCACTAAGGATAAACCCAGGCAGGGTACTGCTAACTGGCGCCCATGACTACCAAACAAACTGCTAAAGCCGAACCCCCGGGATATGTCCACTCACGGGGGCCAAGCAGGGGGGTACCACTGAACAACAGAGGTCAAGACCCTAATATAACAGTAGGAAAGGAACACCAAGGAAGACACCCCCACCCAGCAAAAACAAAAATAAAAGAAAAACCCCGCAAGAGGACAACATACCCAGGAGGAACAGAGCCAGCTGCCATTATAGGTGAAAACTAGCTGTGCAGTACCATGCGCCCCTACCAGTGCAAAAATTACCTCTTACCCCAAGGTAACAAGAGGGGAAAACCCCCCAACACACTCAAGGCGGTCAATCACCGAGCAGCAAAAGACCAACAGAGGTAGACTCCAAGGTGACTTGTGGAAGATAACCCCAAGCCCCAAGGGCGGAACTTACAAGGCACTCAGGGAAGAGAACCCTAAGCACATGCAGCCCAAGTACCTTGGAATAATACTCCCAGCTTGCATGCCCCCGTAAGAGCAGTACTGGACACAAGGCACAGCACAACAGAGAAACTGGAACTAGAGTCACACAGCCATGCCATAATCACATCAGCTGAAGAACCAATGCGTGGATCGCCGGTGTAGGGGTCTGGGGCTCCCATTTTCCCCTCCCGGGGAGAGGGAGCTACCCAGACATGCGGCGTGGCTCACGTGACATCATGCTCATTTGCTCATTTTCATTTGAGGAGTTTCATCCACTAATTTGTCTATTTTAGTCGTTTTAACCAGACTAGGAGTTTCTTTTGAGGCGCTTACCTTTCTGGGGCGCCTGTCCCAGTCAATGGCAGATATAAAATGCTCCAAATCTCATGTGCATTTCTAAATGCCATTGCTCCTCGTGCCTCTCTGAGGGGGACCAGGTTCTAGGCCATGGTCCCTGGTAGGCCTAGAACTCTATTCACTCAGACTGATGCCAAAGTTTAGGGATATACATATCAGCCTGGATAGTTCCGGGAAGCCGAAGGGGCTCCTCCAGAAAAAGCTTTTGACAGAGTCCCACACAAGTGGTTGTTTTAGAAACTGGAACATGCTGGAGGGGCGACAGGGAGACTTCTGACATGGATGAAAAATTTTCTAACTGCCAGAAAGATGAAGGCAGTAATCAGAGACAATTTATCTAACTGGAGGAGTGTTTCTAGTGGAGTACCACAGGATTAAGTTCTTGCACCAGTAATGTTCATCATCTACATAAATCTACCAGAAGGAATACAGAATTATATAAATATGTTTGCTGATGTTGTTAATGTATTAGGGAAGAAAAAGAGACTAACAATTTTTACACCCTTCAAAATGATCTAGACAAAATAAGTGAATAGAGCATCATGTGGCAAATGAAATTCAATGTGAATAAATGTCATGTTATGGAACGTGGAATAGTAGAAAATAGCCACACACACAACCTACAAATTATGTCTAAAGGAATTAAAGACCTTGAACATAGAAAGAGATCTAGGGGTGGTTCTAGAAAGAAAACTATCACCTGAGGGCCACATACAGGACATTGTGTGAGGAGCCTATGCTAAGCTTTATGATTTCAGAATTGTATTTAACTACATGGATGGTAAAAACTAAAGAAATTATTCACGATCTTTGCAAGAACAAAGTTGGAATATGCAGAGGTTGTGTGGTGCCCATATCTTAATAATGTCATAGATTTAAGCCAAAAAAAACAAAGCTGCTTAATAAATATTAGGTAAGTCACTTTTACAAACATTGCAAACGGTTGGAACAAGTTACGCGAGATGATGATGGAAGCCAAAACCGCCAATAGTTTCAATGCACTGTATGACAAACAGTGCTGGGTAGACGGGACACCACGAGCGTAGCTCTCACCCTGTAACTATACTTAGGTAATTAAACGTAATATTATATATATTATATAATATTTATTTGGATCTAATTTAAAAGTATTATTCACAAATATGGGAAAGAAAAGTTCTAAACTTTGTTATATCATACACTATAAAAATATAAAAATATTTATTTACTAATGGAAGATTCTTAGTTTAACACTGGCAGCTTCCCTGGTGCTTGCTTGATCTATGAGCAGCATCTAACCTTTTACACTGGCAGCTTCCCTGTTGCTTGCTTGGTCTATGTAAAGCATCTAACCTTCTACACTGCCAGCTTCCCTGTTGCTTGCTTGGTCTCTCTGAAGCATCTAACCCTCTACACTGGCAGCTTCCCTGGCGCTTGCTTGGTCTTCGTGGAGCATCTAACTTTCTACACTGCCAGCTTCCCTGGTGCTTGCTTGATCTATGAGGAGCATTTAACCTTTTACACTGGCAGCTTCACTGGTGCTTGCCTGATCTATGAGGAGCATTTAACCTTTTACACTGGCAGCTTCACTGGTGCTTGCTTGGTCTATGAGGAGCATCTAACCTTCTACACTGGCAGCTTCCCTGGTGCTTGCTTGGTCTATCTGGAGCATCTAACCTTCTACACTGCCAGCTTCCCTGGTGCTTGCTTGGTCTATGTGGAGCATCTAACCTTCTACACTGCCAGCTTCACTGGTGCTTGCTTGGTCTGAGGAACATCTAACCTTCTACACTGCCAGCTTCACTGGTGCTTGCTTGGTCTATGAGGAGCATCTAAAATTCTACACTGCCAGCTTCCCTGGTGCTTGCTTGGTCTATGAGGAGCATCTAAAATTCTACACTGCCAGCTTCCCTGGTGCTTGCTTGGTCTATGAGGAGCATCTAACCTTGTACACTGCCAGCTTCCCTGGTGCTTGCTTGGTCTATGAGGAGCATCTAACCTTGTTGCTTGGTCTATGAGGAGCATCTAACCTTGTACACTTGGTCTATGAGGAGCATCTAACCTTGTACACTGCCAGCTTCCCTGGTGCTTGCTTGGTCTATGAGGAGCATCTAACCTTGTACACTGCCAGCTTCCCTGGTGCTTGCTTGGTCTATGAGGAGCATCTAACCTTGTACACTGCCAGCTTCCCTGGTGCTTGCTTGGTCTATGAGGAGCATCTAACCTTGTACACTGCCAGCTTCCCTGGTGCTTGCTTGGTCTATGAGGAGCATCTAACCTTGTACACTGCCAGCTTCCCTGGTGCTTGCTTGGTCTATGAGGAGCATCTAACCTTGTACACTGCCAGCTTCCCTGGTGCTTGCTTGGTCTATGAGGAGCATCTAACCTTGTACACTGGCAGCTTCACTGGTGCTTGCTTGGTCTATGAGGAGCATCTAACCTTTTACACCTGGCAGCTTCCCTGGTGCTTGCTTGGTCTGAGGAGCATCTAACCTTGTACACTGGCAGCTTACTGGTGCTTGCTTGGTCTATTCTACACTGGCAGCTTCCCTGGTGCTTGCTTGGTCTGAGGAACATCTAACCTTCTACACTGGCAGCTTCCCTGGTGCTTGCTTGGTCTGAGGAACATCTAACCTTCTACACTGGCAGCCCTGGTGCTTGCTATGAGGAGCATCTAACCTTTTACACTGCCAGCTTCCCTGGTGCTTGCTTGGTCTATGAGGAGCATCTAAAATTCTACACTGCCAGCTTCCCTGGTGCTTGCTTGGTCTGAGGAACATCTAACCTTCTACACTGGCAGCTTCCCTGGTGCTTGCTTGGTCTATGAGGAGCATCTAACCTTTTACATTGGCAGCTTCCCTGGTGCTTGCTTGAACTATGAGGAGCATCTAACCTTTTACACTGGCAGCTTCCCTGGTGCTTGCTTGGTCTATGAGGAGCATCTAACCTTCTACACTGGCAGCTTCCCTGGTGCTTGCTTGGTCTATGAGGAGCATCTAACCTTGTACACTGGCAGCTTCCCTGGTGCTTGCTTGGTCTGAGGAACATCTAACCTTGTACACTGGCAGCTTCCCTGGTGCTTGCTTGGTTTATGAGGAGCATCTAACCTTGTACACTGGCAGCTTCCCTGGTGCTTGCTTGGTCTATGAGGAGCATCTAACCTTCTACACTGGCAGCTTCACTGGTGCTTGCTTGGTCTGAGGAACATCTAACCTTGTACACTGGCAGCTTCCCTGGTGCTTGCTTGGTTTATGAGGAGCATCTAACCTTCTACACTGGCAGCTTCACTGGTGCTTGCTTGGTTTATGAGGAGCATCTAACCTTCTACACTGGCAGCTTCCCTGGTGCTTGCTTGGTCTGAGGAACATCTAACCTTGTACACTGGCAGCTTCCCTGGTGCTTGCTTGGTCTGAGGAACATCTAACCTTCTACACTGGCAGCTTCCCTGGTGCTTGCTTGGTTTATGAGGAGCATCTAACCTTCTACACTGGCAGCTTCACTGGTGCTTGCTTGGTCTGAGGAACATCTAACCTTCTACACTGGCAGCTTCCCTGGTGCTTGCTTGGTCTATGAGGAGCATCTAACCTTCTACACTGGCAGCTTCCCTGGTGCTTGCTTGGTCTATGTGGAGCATCTAACCTTCTACACTGCCAGCTTCCCTGGTGCTTGCTTGAACTATGAGGAGCATCTAACCTTTTACACTGCCAGCTTCCCTGGTGCTTGCTTGGTCTATGAGGAGCATCTAAAATTCTACACTGCCAGCTTCCCTGGTGCTTGCTTGGTCTATGAGGAGCATCTAACCTTTTACATTGGCAGCTTCCCTGTTGCTTGCTTGGTCTGAGGAACATCTAACCTTCTACACTGGCAGCTTCCCTGGTGCTTGCTTGGTCTGAGGAACATCTAACCTTGTACACTGGCAGCTTCCCTGGTGCTTGCTTGGTCTGAGGAACATCTAACCTTCTACACTGGCAGCTTCCCTGGTGCTTGCTTGGTCTGAGGAACATCTAACCTTCTACACTGGCAGCTTCCCTGGTGCTTGCTTGGTCTGAGGAACATCTAACCTTCTACACTGGCAGCTTCACTGGTGCTTGCTTGGTTTATGAGGAGCATCTAACCTTCTACACTGGCAGCTTCCCTGGTGCTTGCTTGGTCTGAGGAACATCTAACCTTCTACACTGGCAGCTTCCCTGGTGCTTGCTTGGTCTGAGGAACATCTAACCTTCTACACTGGCAGCTTCCCTGGTGCTTGCTTGGTCTGAGGAGCATCTAACCTTCTACACTGGCAGCTTCCCTGGTGCTTGCTTGGTCTGAGGAACATCTAACCTTCTACACTGGCAGCTTCCCTGGTGCTTGCTTGGTTTATGAGGAGCATCTAACCTTCTAAGAAAAAATTGTAAGAAAAACTATATAAACAAAAGTAGCTTTACAGATGTCCAACTGCCAAGGTGACAGCACAGCATCTTCACGATGTTGCTTGCAAGTTTCGTGTTGGAGTAATGCCTATTATTAATGCCTATTATATAAATAATGCCTATTATATAAAAATCTGAAAATAAATGTCACTCAACATATAACCAATGCATACACCATTGAATGCCTTTTAAAATTAATATGGGTACTAAGACCTTTTCCTCAAGACAAGACATCAGGTTTAATGAGTTCATCCCCAGAATGATGAATCAGTCAACTAATAATTCTGCTACATTTTGTAAATCTTCTCCGACACCTGGCACACTCAAGGGCTTATTACCCATATGTACCATTATATGCTTTTTCATACGGTCAAGACGGCCAAATTTTTTTCCACACACAGTGCATTTGAAAGGTTTATCATCTGAATGCACCATCATGTGCCTTTTTAAATGTAAAATACGGCTGAACATTTTCCCACACTCTGGACATTCATGAGGTTTGTCACCCGTATGCAAAATCCTGTGTTGATTCATATTTCCAAGAAGACTGAATCTTCTTCCACACTCAGGACACTCGTGTGGCTTATCTCCGGTATGCACCATCATATGAGTTTTCACATGGTCAACACGGCGGAATTTTTTTCCACACACAGGACACTCGTAAGGTTTATAATCAGTATGAACTAACATGTGTTTTATAAGCCTCCGACGTTCAGTAAATCTTCTCCCGCAGTCAGCACACTCAAGAGGTTTAACACCAGTATGAAACTTTCTATGAATTTTCATATATCTGAGTTTGTCAAATCTTCTCCCACACTCTGGACACTCATAAAATTTATCACTCGAATGCACAAACATGTGACTTATTATACTACTACGGTCAGGAAAGCTTCTTCCACACTCGGTACACTCAAAAGGTTTAACACCAGTATGCACCATCCTGTGCCTTTTCAGATTTTCAAGACCAGTGAATGTTTTCCCACACTCTGGACACTTAAAGGGTTTATCACCAGTGTGCACCATCATGTGCCTTTTCAAATGTTCAGGACGGATGTATGTTTTCCCACACACTGAACACTCATGACGCTTATACCCTGTATGCATTAGCATATGACTAATATAACTCCTTCGTTCTGTAAATTGTCCTCCACACTCAGCACACTCTAAAGGTTTATCACCCGTATGAACTTTCCTGTGTGTTTTTAAATTACTAGGGCAGCTGAATGCTTTCCCACACTCAGGACACTCGTGTGGTTTTTCACCCGTATGCACCAACCTATGCCTTTTTATATGTTCAAGACGGCTGAATGTTTTCCCACACACTGGACATTCGAAAGGTTTATCACCTGAATGCACCGTTCCATGCCTTTTTAAATGTAATAGACGACTAAATGTTTTCCCACAATCTGGACATTCATGAGGTTTTTCACCCGTATGCAAAATCCTGTGCTGATTCATATTTCCAAGAAGACTGAATCTTTTTCCACACTCGGGACACTTGTGTGGTTTATCACCAGTATGCACCATCTTGTGCCGTTTTATGTGATCAAGACGACTGAATGTTTTGCCACACACTGTACACTCATGAGATTTCATCTTCCTTATGATTGTGGAATTTGTGTGAAGGTTATATCCTCCCGATAACTGCAGGTGTCATCTTCTAGCCAGTGTGTCTCTTATGCTTTGTAGCTGGGGTCAACAGAGGCCAGTCTTAAAAGAGCAGAAGTGCAGACAATGGTGGTGGTGGTGTGCTAGTGTTACCTCCTGGTGGTGGAGCAGAAGCACAGATAATAGTGGTGGTGGTGTGCTACTGTTACCTCCTGGTGGTGGAGCAGAAGCACAGATAATAGTGGTGGTGTCCTACTGTTATCTCCAACAAGCCTCATCAGCTGTGGCAGCGCCAACCTTCAGCCATATTGCTGCTGTTGTGATGCTCTTTCTTCGGTCCTATCCCTACAAAGAGTTAAACATGAAGCCAAAAATTAAGTTTTAATTCCTATTTTTATAACATTTCTAGTAAAATGCTTACTCCTACAAAGTGTGTACAATAAACCAGCATTGAATGTAATGCTTCTTTTTGGATGAACCCCGATGGCTCCCTGAAGCTATCCCGCTGAGATGGCTCCCAACTACTAGGTCACACGAGCAGCGGAGTTCTGTTATGCCCAATGTAGACCAGAATCAGAGCCTGGCTTCCTCACAACAGAGGCACAGAGAGCAGGTGACAATCTGCCACCCCATTTGGGAAAGCATCCATAAAGTCAGTGAACCAATGCAGACTAATTCTGTTCAAAAGAACTGTAACCTCAAAACTGTCAAATTCCCCACTGTAAACAAATGATAAAATCTCTCGAAACAAATGTGAGCTCGTTAGCACCAAGCCCACTGCCAATAAGAGGAAGGTAACTTTAGCTCCAGGTCTTCCCTTTGCCAACCCCCCCCCCACTCCTCAAGCCAGTTCTGGAGTAGAGACAATCAAGACATGAAGAGACAACTGGCTCAAAGAGAGAGACAACCCAAGGCAACATGGAGTACGAGTAGGCCTGACAGCTGAGTACGAGTAGGTAGGGGCTTGACTGACAGTACGAGTAGGTAGGGGCCTGACAGCTGAGTGCCAACGGACAAACCTATCACCTTGACCAAAAGAGCAGAAATCCCTGCACCAGAGGAGAGCATGAAGCTCCCCAACCTGACTCTTAGGCTTTTCTTAGGCTCTTTTCTTGTTGACATTGGCACCAGAGGCCAATGTCAACAAGAAAAGAGCCTAAGAAAAGAAATCCTGAACCAAGGGGGCCACAACAAACCGAGAAGATAGATAAGAGAGCACTCTGTCCAAAGACCAGGACGGCTCAGGTGGCACATGAGCAGGCAGGTGAAACAACGCCCGAGACAGCCAGTGAAACGGTGCAGAAGTAACATCAATACCAAAAGCAAGCTGTATCGGCTCTGCCAATGCCGCACGATATGAGGCACCATTATTCGGCATAAAATGACAGTTCTGATACATCCACAAGAGAAAGGATAAAAACCTTAACAAAAAGCGAAGTACAGCGACAAAGAGACAAAAAGAAATGGAAGGATTGCCAGGAAACTTCATGCTGCCACCGAGATGAAGCCCGCAGATAGGACACCATCAAAGAAGCCACCTGATCACCCACTATACAGATGGTGATAGACCCCGAGTCAAAAAGACCAACCGCGAAGACTCGAGAAGCAGATCGCACCAGTCTCATAACAAACCGGACTGATCTGTTGAAAGAGGCGGAGCCGTGGGAAAACCTCCAAGTTCGAACACCCAGCAAGCAGCGCCTGAAACCAAGGCTGGGCTGGCCACCATGGGGCCAAGAGGACTACTCTTCCCTTTTAAATCTTCAAGTGAGCTAGAACCTGGAGCAACAGCTGAACTGGGGGGAAAGAGGTACAGAAACCCCCCCCACCTCGACCAGTCCTGCCGGAAGGCATTGACCCCAAAGGCCTCGCAATCGGGGAAGGGCGCCTCTAATACCAAAGACGCCTCAACCATGCCGACACGAAGAGATCCACCTCCAGGCGCCCAAACGTCTGGCAGAGCCAACTGAATGAGTCGGCATTGACCGTCCATTCCGTGGACAGTGGAATGAACCGGGGGCAGGGGACACAAAGCCAGCCCCCCCTCCCCACCAGGCAGAAACAAAAAGAAAAGAAAAACTCCGCAAGAGAACAATGTACCCAGGAGGAACAGAGCCAGATGATGTTACAGAGCACCACTTGGTTTCCGAACTTTAGTTATCCGAAACTTCCAGTTTTCTGATTGGGGTTGGGGAGTCATGCTCCACGAACAAAGTTCGGGTAGGAAGCGGTCCACCAAGCGTCGCGCCGGCCCATTGTGGGTGGGAGGGAGATGGTCCAGTTTGACCACTGACCGTGTCAGGCGCCATCACTCTAGAGTGCCTTCTACCCTGTGACTTCACAGATTCACAGCCTATTATTCCTATTATTTTGAATTGTCATAAGGCTGGAATTTTCATTGTGATTTTGTTTTACATATCTGCACAATCAAGAAACATCTGTGCACCATGTTGGCTCCAAATGCACGCATTGCATCAGTGATGACTGACTGGTGGGTGGAAGGATGTGGGGAGCTTAGGTGGGAGGCAGTATGAGAGAGAGGGGGAGAATTAGTGAGAAAGGGAGGGAGGGGGAGGTAGGGAGAGATGCTAGGAGGTAGGCATGAAGGGAAGGAAGTAGTGAGGGAGGATGGGAGAATTAGGGAGGGACAGAAAGGCTGGCAGGCAGAGGCAGGCAGGCAGGCAGGCAGGCAGGCTGGCTGGCTGGCTGGCTGGCTGGCTGGCTGGCTGGCTGGCTGGCAGACAGGCTGGCATAGAGGCAGGCAGGCAGACAGGGGGGCAGGCTGGATGGCAGGCTGGCTGGCAGGCTGGCTGGCAGGCAGGCAGAGAGGGAGGCAGGCAGGCTGGCAGGCAGAGAGGGAGGCAGAGAGGGAGGCAGGCTGGCTGGCAGGCTGGCTGGCAGGCAGAGAGAGAGGGAGGCAGGCAGGCAGAGAGGGAGGCAGGCAGGCAGAGAGGGAGGCAGGCTGGATGGCAGGCAGGCAGAGAGGGAGGCAGGCTGGATGGCAGGCTGGATGGCAGGCTGGATGGCAGGCAGAGAGGGAGGCAGGCAGGCAGGCAGGCAGGCAGGCAGGCTGGCTGGCAGGCAGGCTGGCAGGCAGGCAGGCAGGCAGGCAGGCTGGCAGGCAGGCTGGCAGGCAGGCTGACAGGCAGGCAGGCAGGCAGGCAGGCAGGCAGGCAGGCAGGCAGGCAGGCAGGCAGGAAGGCTGGCAGGCTGGCTGGCAGGCTGGCAGGCAGGCTGGCTGGCAGGCAAGCAGGCAGGCAGGCAGGCAGGCAGGCAGGCAGGCAGGCAGGCAGGCAGGCAGGCAGGCAGGCAGGCAGGCTGGCAGGCTGGCAGGCAGGCAGGCTGGCAGGCAGGCTGGCAGGCTGGCAGGCAGGCTGGCAGGCAGGCTGGCAGGCTGGCAGGCAGGCTGGCAGGCTGGCAGGCAGGCAGCCTGGCAGAGAGGGAGGCAGGGAGGCTGGCAGAGAGGGAGGCAGGCAGGCTGGCAGTCAGGAAGGCAGGCTGGCAGTCAGGAAGGCAAGCAGGCAAGGAGGGAGGGGCAGTGCTGTGACCTCTAAGAGCGAGTTTATGGAATGTAGGGGTTGGTGTGGGGGGGGAGGTGTGTCAGGGGTGGAGGAAGGGACGGGCTTACTCCGATAACTAACACTCGTCCCCATTAGCCAGATTACCAGAGGATGTTTGCCTGGCGTCTTAATAATCAGTTAGGAACAATTAAGGACTTTTATAAAGTACAGTACTCACAATAAAGTCAGCTATCTGAACAATTGCTAGTGCATGTGCAAATCCTTCAAAATTGCCAGATTTTTAAGGATTTGCGGCAAAGAAAGTTAGCGAGAGGAAAAAATTAAGAGAATAACTCCTAGCCTATGTCAAGGGGATTAAGTTCCCTGAACTGAGAACAGAACTGGTGACTGAAACAATAGAAGATGACATAGATAGGTGGATAGATTTTGACGAAGAAGCCCCAAACAATCGAAACATGACTGATGATGAAATTATAGAATTACTGTAGTATGTGCAGCAAAAAAGCCAGAAGAGTGCAATGAAGAAGATGGAGAGGAAGAGGCAGAGGATGAAGAAACGTTAAAGGAAAAATCTAATATGGAAAAAGTTCAGCAACATTTTGACGGCATTCTGGCATTTATGGACACGAGTTACAGTGAGTTTGACACTAAGGACATGATGAGTCTGTGCAATTTCTATAAAGTTTTTAATAACAAGATCAAAGGGAATGAAATAAATGTCAATTATAGAGTCTTTTGCAATGGCTTCCAAGAAAGCTCGCATTGCATCACCTGCACCTGACTCATCACATTGTAACGTACGTTTATGTTATGTTGTCGAGTAGATTAGATACACAGTGTTTAGTGGGTTTTCACATTTATTTAGTAGTCTTAGATACAGCAGTGTCGTAGACGTTGAGACAGAGCTTGGAGCAGAGCAGAGAGCTGAGTGAGGCCAGAGTCGCGGAGCTCTATGTGGGAGAGCGTTGTAGCTGGATGCCGTCCTAGTCTGCTGCCTATTCCGAGTCGAAGCTGTAGTGTCTTGGGGTCGATTAGAACTGCATACGCAGAGTGCTACATTCTTGACTGGAAATTGTACTGTTTGCTATTCTCATATCGCTTCCTTATATGTGATGACTACACCTCAGCTCCCTCCACTAGGATAGGAGAATGGAAGAACTGTTACCTGTAAATAGGGATAAGATTATAACTTGTGTAGTTAGTGCTAATTAGTTACGCCATTGAGACGATGAGATAATGGAGCGAGTATGAGGTTTTCTCGATACAACATGTTGACCCAGTCAACCCAATAACTTCAGTCAACCCAACACATCAACATCCACAACCACCTCTTCCATGTAAATAACTATGCTTCATCAGCATAAGTGGATCAGGACTTCGCTTATTGGAGAGTACAAACAAAATACGATCGCATTTACGCTATGAACCTGTCAACTTTTTCCCCTAGAGATTTTCATAAATTTTTAGAAAATCTTTTCTTTTAACATTTCTAGTTTATTTTTTACCTCCATTTCTCGTTTACGAACTTAAATAATAAACGACAGGCCTCGTCCCCAATGGGTCCGGAAACCAAGTGGTGCTCTGTATAGATGAAAACTAGGCAGATGCGCAGTACCCTGTGCCCCTACCAGTGCAAAAACTACCTCTTACCCCAAGGTAAACAAGGGAGGAAACCCCCCATCACTCTTAGGGCAGTCAATCACTGAGCAGCAAAAGACCAACAGAGGTAGACCGCAAGGCGACTTGTGGGTGTAGAAAAAATTTGAGGTTCAAATTGTGGGTCTTGTGGATCTAGATTGCTTTTGAAGCCCCAAGGGCGGTACTTACAGGGCACTAAGAGAAAGAAATACTTACATGGCACTAAAAGAAAGAAACCCTAAGCACATGCAGCCCGAGTACCTATGAATATTGCTCCCAGCTTGCATGCCACCATAAGAGCAGTACTGGACACAGGCACAGCACAACACATAGAGAATCTGGAGCTGGAACCACATGACCAAGCCACAATCACATCAGTCGAGTACTGGAGGGTGGATTGCTGGTGTGGTGGGTCTGGGGCTCCCCCCTTCTGGGGAGCAAACGTCATGCTCATTTGCTCGTTTTCAATTGGGAAGTTCTGTCCACTTGTTAATCTATTTTTAGTTGTTTTAACCAGAATAGGGGTTTGTTTTGAGGCGCTTACCTTTCTGGGTGCCTGGCCCGGTCATTGACAGACACAGAATGCTCCAAATCCGAAGTGCATTTCCATAGGCCATTGCTCCTTGTGCCTCTCTGAGGGGGGGCCAGGTTCTGGCCATGGTCCCCAGTAGGCCCTAGAACTCCATTCACACTGACTGATGCCAAAGTCTAATGATATACATATCAGCCTAGATAGCTTTGGGGAGCCAAAGGGACTCCCCTCCCAGAAAAAAATATTGATATATAAAAATAAAAATAATTAAGAGACCAGTCACATGTGTAAAATCTTCAGTCAGCTTTTTTCAGTTTATAATTGCTCACATGTAAGTGTTTTTTACAGCAAAATTGCGTTATTACTTTTTAATGTTATTATTAGTTCTGTATAGCATAAGCTATACTCTTTCATTTGATTAATTCTAGTGTTTGAACTCAAGATATTGATATCAACGCAATGTATTGCACAAGTCCCGGTAGTACAGTCAGGTTCGTTCTCGACTCACAATCGAGAATTCCGGGTTCGAATCCCAGGTGGGACAGAAATGGTTGTGCACATTTCCTTTCACATAATGCCTCTGTTCACCTAGCAGCAAGAAGGTATTCAGGAGTTAGTCAGCTTGTTGTGGGGTTGCATCCTGGGTGGGATCAGTAATTCAACCCTGGGGGAGAGACCTTGATAAAAGCTTAACGTGTATGAATACACTCTGGCTTCTTGTCCCCCGACACAGTGAATTATTATTATTAAGTGCTGCGAGTGTCCATAATATTCTATGACCATATTCTATATTATATGACCACAAGAACAGATATCAATGCAATATTGTACACAAGTGCTGCGAATGTCCATAATATTTTAGCGCAACTTATGTGGGTTCAGGCGTATGGCTTCTGATGTCTTTTGGTAATATTATATATGCTGAATTTACTTTTAATTCATTGTTATACATGTTTAGCTATCATATAATGACCAGTTACGTAAAAACCAATCAGCCTATACATGCTAGATCAAGCCTGCGGCCATTACGATGTGTTGTATTTACACTGGCACTTTAGGTCTAATGAATCCCAGATTATGCACACCGCATCATTACATTTCAATAAATAACAATATACAGTATAATAATAATTCATTGTGTGTCAGAGGACAGGACAGGCATCCAGAGTGTTTATATACACTAGGTTTATATCAAGGTCCCCCCTCCCCCCCCCAGGTCAAATTATTAACCCCCCCTACCCCAGGAGGCAACCCCTCAACAATTTGGCTAACTACTGGGTACCTACTGGCTAGGTGAATAGGTGTATTAGTGATAAAAAATGCACCCAACCATTTCTGTCCTGCCCGGGATTCGAACCCAGAATTCTCAATTGAGTCAAGAATGAACCCGACTACTACCAGAACCCTGTGTGATATAGGTATGTGATAAGTAAAAGAATTTAACTGTTCATAGCATCATATTCTGGTAATAATATTGATCTACAATTTATAAATGATGCATACAAACTGTGTGCAAAATGGTAGAAATACCTTGACAGGATGTGCCTGGTGACCTGGAGGTCCCAGGTCATGACCTGTTGGACCCCAGTATCTGGCCTCTGGCAGGAGCCAGATACCTGTCAGAGGTCCCTCCAGTGACCTCTGACAGTGCAGGAGCCAGATACCTGGTGTCCCTCCAGTGACCTCTGACAGTGCAGGAGCCAGATACCTGGTGTCCCTCCAGTGACCTCTGACAGTGCAGGAGCCAGATACCTGGTGTCCCTCCAGTGACCTCTGACAGTGCAGGAGCCAGATACCTGGTGTCCCTCCAGTGACCTCTGACAGTGCAGGAGCCAGATACCTGGTGTCCCTCCAGTGACCTCTGACAGTGCAGGAGCCAGAACCTGGTGTCCCTCCAGTGACCTCTGACAGTGCAGGAGCCAGATACCTGGTGTCCCTCCAGTGACCTCTGACAGTGCAGGAGCCAGATACCTGGTGTCCCTCCAGTGACCTCTGACAGTGCAGGAGCCAGATACCTGGTGTCCCTCCAGTGACCTCTGACAGTGCAGGAGCCAGAACCTGGTGTCCCTCCAGTGACCTCTGACAGTGCAGGAGCCAGATACCTGGTGTCCCTCCAGTGACCTCTGACAGTGCAGGAGCCAGATACCTGGTGTCCCTCCAGTGACCTCTGACAGTGCAGGAGCCAGATACCTGGTGTCCCTCCAGTGACCTCTGACAGTGCAGGAGCCAGATACCTGGTGTCCCTCCAGTGACCTCTGACAGTGCAGGAGCCAGATACCTGGTGTCCCTCCAGTGACCTCTGACAGTGCAGGAGCCAGATACCTGGTGTCCCTCCAGTGACCTCTGACAGTGCAGGAGCCAGAACCTGGTGTCCCTCCCTCTGACAGTGCAGGAGCCAGATACCTGGTGTCCCTCCAGTGACCTCTGACAGTGCAGGAGCCAGATACCTGGTGTCCCTCCAGTGACCACTGACAGTGCAGGAGCCAGATACCTGGTGTCCCTCCAGTGACCTCTGACAGTGCAGGAGCCAGATACCTGGTGTCCCTCCAGTGATCTCTGACAGTGCAGGAGCCAGATACCTGGTGTCCCTCCAGTGACCTCTGACAGTGCAGGAGCCAGATACCTGGTGTCCCTCCAGTGACCTCTGACAGTGCAGGAGCCAGATACCTGGTGTCCCTCCAGTGATCTCTGACAGTGCAGGAGCCAGATACCTGGTGTCCCTCCAGTGACCTCTGACAGTGCAGGAGCCAGATACCTGGTGTCCCTCCAGTGACCACTGACAGTGCAGGAGCCAGATACCTGGTGTCCCTCCAATGACCTCTGACAGTGCAGGAGCCAGATACCTGGTGTCCCTCCAATGACCTATGACAAGAGCTGGAGCCAGATACCTGGTGTCCCTCCAGTGACTTCTGACAAGAGCTGGGGCCAGATGCCTGGGTCCCTCCAGGGACCTCTGACAGTGCAGGAGCCAGATACCTGGTGTCTCTCCAGTGACAATGACAGCAGAAGCCAGACTTTTGGTGCCCATGCAGTGATCTTTGACAGAGCAGGGTCAGACGCCCACTCGAGAGATATATCTACCTAGCTGCGTTCACGAGCGATAAGTATGCCAGACGTCGTATCACTAAGGAGCCATTAAAGAGAAATATTTGACCTCAGTATCGCATCCCAATGGTCAAAATTGCCTCAGGAACTCCGGTGGGCCCCAGGCAGAGCACAGGAAGTCCGCCCGTCGTCCAGGTTGGCCAAAGAGTCAACCATTTTGTCCCAGACGTGACGTAGGACCACAACATTAAGGCGTCGCGTCGATAATGGCGTCCAGTCTCAGTTTATATAAACCTTCACACAATTAATCTAGATAACTTTACTGATAAATCTAATAATCTCAAAATCAAATTGTTCTAAATTTGAACGACTGTTATTGTTTTTGTCATATAATATATTGATGCTCCTTTTTGTTGTGGACGATCAAGTGTTCGACGACACCGTGCAAACAATCCGGATTACGACTTTTTAGAGTTTATATCGCTGTCATAATATATAAATAATAATTAATACTTCATTTGAGCCCATTATGTGCCTCTGTAATCCTTTCCACTACCGCCCACAAGATGGGTATAGGGTGCATAATAAATGAACTAAACTAAAAAACTGTTGGGGAACAGGCAGCCAGATTGTACATTCAGGACATGTTAGACTTATATATATAATAATAATAATAATTTTTATTTAGGTAAAGGTACATACATAAAGAGATTTTACAAAGTTTGTTGGCTTTATAGATAGAGCTAGTACATACAATGCCTAAAGCCACTATTACGCAAAGCGTTTCGGGCAGAAATGGGCAGAAACGTTTCGGGCAGAAACGGCAAAAACTAATATCGAGGTCCTCCCCCTCCCAGGGCGGAATTACTGACCCCCGCCCAGGATGCAACCCCCCAACAAAGCACTACCTAATAAATTCCCTGTAACCTACCTTACCCCTCTATTGTCAACCCGTCTTTTTTTTTTAACAACGCTGTTTGTCGACCAAATTGTATTTGGGCTGCTTTTTCAGCCATGTTCCCCCCTTTTTTATCTCTATTTTTATTTGTTCTCAACACATTTTATTATTTATACTCAATTAGTATTAAGCTTTAGTCATTTAAGTTTTTCATGCCCGAAACGCTTTGCGTAATAGTGGCTTTAGGCATTGTATGTACTAGCTTTATCTATAAATCCATCACTCTTTGTAAAATCTCTTGTATGTATGTACCTTACCTAAATAAACATTTATTTATATTTATAACAAGCTCTGAAACTCTCCCTGGACAGATGTAATAGGACCCATTATCACCACACCAGAAATAAATATCTCTTTGATATCTCCAGAGTCAAACTTAATCTGTACAAACACTTTATGCAAATAAAGGTACCTAGTCTTTGGAACTCACTCCCTAATGAATTGAAAAGCTGTCCAATTTTTGCCTCATTCAAAAACAAAACTAAAAAGTAGCTAATTTCATCTTCATAATTTTCTACCTTGTTGCTTTAAAATTGCACTGTATCTAGTGTTACCCAATCTCCCAATCTTCATGTACCCAATCCAAACAACTTTATCATTGTGTTCATTGCTGTCTTCTTATATGTGCTTTCAATTTGCTGTATGGTGCCTATTAATCTTCCTTTAAATTACCAATCAAGCTGTCAATGCAATCAAGCAGTCTCCGTGGTGTAGTGGTAAGACACTCGCCTGGCGTTCCGCGAGCGCTATGTCATGGGTTCGTATCCTGGCCGGGGAGGATTTACTGGGCGCAATTCCTTAACTGTAGCCTCTGTTTAACGCAACAGTAAAATGTGTACTTGGATGAAAAAACGATTCTTCGCGGCAGGGGATCGTATTCCAGGGACCTGCCCGAAACGCTACGCGTACTAGTGGCTGTACAAGAATGTAACAACTCTTGTATATATCTCAAAAAAAAAAAAAAAAATCAGAGCTTTAATATACTAATGTGCTTTAATATACCTATTAATCTCTCTCATCTTATTTTTTTCTTTCTTGCAATGTATCTGTTATCATTTTATTAATTCTGCTAGAATTTACCTACTTAAAATTATCTGTTAGATTAAGGACCTGCCCGAAATGCTGCGCGTACTAGTGGCTTTACAAGATTGTATATTACCATGCTATGTATTCTCACAAACCCAATGTACCTTCTTGTATATAAATAAATAAATAAATAAATAAATAAATAAATAAATAAAAGCTGACTAACTCCTGGGTATCTATTTACTGCTAGGTAAACAGGGGAATTAGGGGATAGTAAACGAGCCCAATCATTTTTGTCCCACCCGGAATTGATCCCGGAATTATCGAATGTGAGTCGAGAACGAACCCGACTGTACTACCGCAGTCGGTCTTCCCAACTGGAGTGGGAAATGATAATAATATTGAAGCCTTACAAAGAGATAGATCTACAGGAACTCCATAAATGGCCAGAAATGGTCACTGCTTCACAAGCGGGGATTTTTCTGGCGGGGGAGAAAGAAACAATTGCGCAGCGCGTTGCGCGGGCAGTTTGGGGCCGTATAAATACGGGCGCACAATGGGGCTCTGCCTCACTCCGCCCGCCCTCGCCGCTGCCCTCGCAAAACTTACAACTGGTTTTTAATACCGACAAATGCTAGACCATTTGAGCCGGTCGGCCGAGTGGACAGCACTGTGATCCTGTGGTCCTGGGGTCGAGCCCAGGCGCTGGTGAGAAACAATGGGCAGAGTTTCTTTCACCCTATGCCCCTGTTACCTTGCAGTAAAATAGGTACTTGGGTGTTAGTCAGCTGTCACGGGCTGCTTCCTAGGGGTGGAGGCCTGGTCGAGGACCGGGCCGCGGGGACACTAAAAAAAAAAGCCCCGAAATCATCTCAAGATAACCTCGCATGTGAGGCAAAACAACCCACGCTACGACTACCAAATTAATAACAAAATGAAATAGAAAAAGACCTTGGAGTCCAAATCAACCACTCATTAAAAGTTGCACATTAGGTGGGAGCAGCAGTCAGAAAAGCTAACCAAACTCTTGTGATAATCAGGAGTACTTTTGACTATAAGGAAAAAAGGTAATGGTTCAACTGTATTAATCTGTGGTGCGCTCCCATTTGGATTACTGTATCCAAGCATGGAGACCTGATTTTCAGAAAGACATAGCTTTTCTGGAGAAGGTGCAACACCGGGCAACAAAAGTTATTCCAGAGCTAAGTCATCTCTTGTATCAGGAACGGCTGAGAGCCTCAGAGCTAACAACACTGCAAACCAAGCATGACAGGGTGGAATTTCATTGAAACTTTTATAATAATAATAATAATAATAATTTTTATTTAGGCAAAGGTACATACATAAAGAGATTTTACAATTTCAAAGGTTGAAGTTTCAACCTTTCAAGGCAAAGGTTTCAAAGGCAAAGGTACATACATAAAGAAATTTTACAATTTTTCAAAAATTTTTGACAAGTTTGGCAGGATTGATATAGGTCTGTAGTTGTTAACATCTGTGAGATCACCACATTTGTGGACAGGCGTTACTCTCGCTTTTTTTAGAATATCTGGAAAGGTTTGGAGTTCAAGTGACTTGTTGAAGAGGAAAGCAATAGCAGGGGCTAAAGATCTGGAGGCTTTTTTGTAGATTAAAGTTGGTATCTCCTCAAGGGCACCAGACTTGGTTTTAAGGGAAAGGATTATCTCATTGACGTCAATGGAATTAATAGGCTTTAGGTACAGAGACTGGGGATAGTTCCCTGTAAGATAGTCCTTAATGTCAGTACTGGAAGATGGAATATCATTAGCAAGGGATGAACCAATGGAAGAGAAGAACCTATTGAACTCAATAGCAGAATCAGAGGCTGAAAGCTGACCATCGTTATTAGACAGGAGAGTCGGTTTGTTATTTAAAGACTTCTTTGATCCCAATATTTGTGAAATTGTGCTCCAAGTTTGTTTAATGTTGCTCTTTATTTGGGTAAATTTATCTTCGTAGTATTTAGTTTTGGCTCGTCTAATTATCTTAGATAGCAATAATGAGTAATTCTTTGAGAATTCTTTGGAGACAATCCCTAACCTATACTTTTTCTCAAGGTCATGTTTTTTATTAATAGATTTAAGTATTCCCTTTGTAAGCCAGGGATTGTTAAGCCTTTTGGTTGTGACTTGTTTTGTAAGCATAGGACAGTGGGTATTATAAAGGCTAAGAGTTATTTGAAGAAAAGATTGAACTGCTAGGTTGATGTCCTCTATGTTACCTAACTCGGACTCCCAGTTGACATTATCAGTAGCAGTTATAAAATTGTCTATAGCAGTTTCATTGTGTAGTCTAAAACGTATCTATGCCCGAAACGCTTTGCGTAATAGTGGCTTTAGGCATTGTATGTACTAGCTCTACCTATAAGTCAAACAATCCTTGTAAATATTTATTGTATGTATGTACCTTACCTAAATAAAATTGTATTGTATTGTATTGTATCTCTCTTGACTCAAGAGGTGGTTTGCTAATGTTAGTTAAGAGAAATGTGGGGTAATGGTCTGTAGTGCTATCGGTTATTATACCTGAAGTAAGCGGAGAGGTTATATTTGTCCAGATGTGATCAAGAGTCGTGGCAGTGCTATCAGTGATTCTAGTAGGTCTAGTGATTAAGGGTATGAGGAAGCAGGAATTCATACAGTTGAGGAAGCTAACAGCAGTAGGGTGTTCTGGCTCGCAGAGGTCAATATTAAAGTCCCCTGCGATAATTAGGTGGTTTTTGTTCAGTCTGTTATCAAGTATTAGATTTCTAAGGTTTGAGTTGAATTCGGACACATCAGTGTTAGGAATTCTATAAACTGCACCCACAGACAGGATAGACTCGGCACCCTTGACTCTGAAGCTGGCGAAGATATACTCCCCATAGCAGTCTCTAGTTCTAATTTCTTTTAAGCATGTTAGTTCTTGGTGGTAGTAAAGAGCAGTGCCACCACCTCTCTGAAGTTGACGACAGTCGTGGATTGCTGAGTAGTTAGGCATGTTAAAGAGTTGAGTAGTATCATCTTTCAACCATGTTTCAGTAAGTATAATAAAAGAGAAATTGTTGTCAATAGCTTCAATCAAGGCACTAACATCATCGAAGTGTTTGCCTAGGGATCTAACGTTCAAATTGATTACAGAGATATTGTGACTATGAGTTAATACATTGTTTACATCATGTGCTGCAAAATATCTGCAATTTAGATCATTAAAGTGATTATTGTCATAGATAGTGGATAAGAGGTTAATTTCTGGGTCTATACTTGACTGCATAAAAAAAGCTGATTAAAATACTGAGCAAGTTAGAGGATGTTGACCCGGATATTTTCTTTAGGTCAGATGTAACACAAACAAGGAGCAACGGTTTCAGTTCAACAAGCCACAATGAATGACTGAGAACAGGAGATGCTTTTTTACCCCACAGGGTTCTTAACCCATGGAACCGCCTACCCGCCGAAGCAGTAACTGCCAAAACTGTACTGAGTTTTGAAACATACCTAGAAAAGATCATCAAGGCAAATCCTTCGACAAGCTGCTGGCTTCCTGTCCTCGTCGAGGCCCCTAGTGTTAGTGTCCCTCAGGTATATTCAGGTTAATGCAGTGAAGGAAGCTTGTGACTTGTACTCATCTGGTTGTGGTTTATCATGCTGGCAAAGGTCAATATTAAAATCTTCTGTTAGTATTAAGTTTTTATTTTATTTTAAATGAAATTTCTAATGCTAGAGTTGAGTTCAGTTACATAAAGAAGAAGAGGTACTCGTCCCATTTTCCTTTATTATAGAAACACTAACTAGTCGCAAATTGCAGTCCGGATTGTTCGCGCGGCTTACCCGAACACTGGATCATCAACAACAAACAGGAGCATTAATATAATATATGACAACAACAACGACAACAACAATAAAAATGCAACCGTTCCAAATTTAATTGAACTTGTTATGCGCGATCACTAAATTTATTTTTGTAAAGTTATTTAGGTTAATTGCGTGAATGTTTATATAAACTGAGACGACACCATTATCGGCGCGACGCCTTAATGTTGTGGTCCTACGTCACGTCTGAGACAAAATGGTTGACTTTCAGTCCAACATCGACGACGGTCTGACCTCTTGTGCTCTGCCTGGGGCCCACCGGAGTTCCTGACGCAGTTTTGACCATTGGGACGTCTGCTAGTTATGGTAATTTCTCCTTAATGGGCCCTTATTGATACGACGCTTGGCGTATTTACTACTAGAAAGTTAATAGATATTTCCTAGATTGGCGTCTGGCTCTTTAAACCTGAATGCAAACTGGTTGAGTAGAAGTGCTGCTAACTTTATCAAGTTAAATGCACCTTTTGTATGCAGTATACTAGTTAATAATATTCCATTATATCTGTACCCTGAAATATAAGTGTCTTTCACGCCCATCAGCAAAAAGAGCTAGGAAAACCCAGCACTCCTAAAAGCAACAACACTAGAAACCATTGATTCCTTTATAAATAACTTACGGCATCACGAGCACTGTGCATACGCTGACGGGTCTGTTCAAATGTCAACAGGTCGCACTGCAGTAGCCTGTAGAATATACAAAGACAATAGATGTACACAGACCATAAGTGTGAGACTGAATAACTGGCTTATCTGCACACATAATTACATGCAGGTAATTAACTGCATGAATAATTAGGTAATTACACTTAGATAATTACATGCAGAATGAACTGCATTATAACTTGCCATTAAGGTACACAAAAACGTACAGTGGAGTCACTTTGTGATTCAAAGTCAGCTCTTCCAACACTTGAAAAACTTAAGGTGCAAAATAGATACTAGGACTTGTGTAACATCCATTAAAAACAACATAATACATTGCAAGATTTTAAGGTACTTGTATAGATACCATCTCACATAGGTGTTGTCCAGCATGATTGCTCTGAACCACTTATCTGTGTGAAATAAACATTGTTCTGAGATCAATATTGCAGGTTTGGACTTCAAGCACTGAAAAGTGCAACTACATACGTCTTCGGTTTCACTTAAAATATTTTTCGGCTACAAAGTGTACATATAGATTACTATAGTAGTACCTTGTATTGCCCAGGTCTATCTGTCTCCCATTGCCCATCTATTTATCTATCCATGTCTCCATCTATTTCTGTACATCCATCTATCCTTCTATTTCCTTTTATCCATCTATTTGTCCAATGTTTCTATCCATCCTCTATATATATTCATCTATCCATCCATCAATCCATCTATTGACCCATCCATCCATCAATCCATCTATTGACCCATCTATCCATCAATCCATCTTTCCATCTATTTATTCATTTATCTATGTACCCATCTATCTATATATCCATCCGTCCATCTATTTATTCATTTATCCACCCATCTATCTATCCATACATCAATCTGTCTATTCATTCATCTACTCATCATCTATACATCCATCCATTCATCTACTCATCATCTATACATCCATCCATCTTGATATGTGATACTTCTACTCATCATCTATAAATCCATTCATTCATCTACTCATCATCTATATATTTATCCATCCATTCATCTACTCATCCGTTCATCTACTCATCGATCTATCCATCCGTCGTTCATGTTTTCATCAGTCTACCATGCATTTATTGATACATTCATACATCAATCTACTGTCTGTTTCTTATAAAAAAAATTGTAATGTGTGAGTGGTCGGTGATGAGAGGCACTCAGCAGTGTGAAATAGAATTGTTACCCTGGACACAGAGAGAGCATGGCTTAAGATCTTTGATGCATATGGAGGATCGTTTGTTTTATGCAAATATGAGCAATTTCTGGACAGCTGGGAATTGTTGTTAATTTTCTTGAGATTGGTGAATATTGGTGTATATTAATATAAGTTTTTTTTTAAGTTTTCAAAATGTTTAACCGTGTAGCCAGCAGGCAGTGGCAAAAATCTGCAGGTAATTAACGCAGGGGTTTTGGAGGTCGAACAATCCGGTCCTGGCCACCAGGTATCTTGTGAATTTTCCGGTTCCTTCCTGGCCATGTGTGACTCCGAGTCTCCTGTCACGGTCATCTGTCTCTTCCCTGTCTTGAGTCTGGATGTGATTCTGGCAACTCTGACCAACCTGTATTCATACCGTACCCCAGACCATTCACTGTCATTTTGGGTGAAGCTGGGCTGTCAGCATCCGTGCTTGCTGTGGGAGTCTTAGTACTGAGAGAGCATACAGAGTACAGAGAGAGCTGTGCAGCTGGGGGCCACAGCACCACCCATTAACCCTTAAAGTGCGCATCACATCATATGACGTGTTGGACGTTGTTCCAGTCAACTGCGCATCACGTCATATGATGTGTTGGAGTACTACGCAAGATTTAAACGGCCCGCGGATACACGGGGTTCACCACACCTTCATCAGGGCTCTTGTAAACAGACACCATTTAAAAAAAAAATCGTGGGCCAAACTCCCGGGTGTTATTGGCCTCAGTATTGAGTGAGCAACCAAGCCTGACGCATGCAGCATGAGCTAACAGCACTGCTGTTCAGCTTGTGACCACAGTATCGCCTAAAAATGGCAAAATATACTTGTTCATGCTATTATGTAGCGATGATATTATTACAGAAGACCCATGACTGTGATAAAACTGACCAGGGTTCTGATAATAGCAGGATTGTGGTGATATTTAGTGCTGTGCGCCATGGAGGGAGGAGTAATGCTGTGGGAGGGAGGGTGGTGGCGATGTCTTCTGACTGTGTGGCCACCTTTTATTGACTGCACTCAGCATACCAGCTTAGTGGTTCGCTATGGTGAACACAAATGTAGATACTTATATATAACGTGTGTATAGAGCGTATAAACTGCAAGAGAAAGTTTGGAGCCGCCATTTTGGTGAGGGCGGTGGCGTCGTCTGCACGACGCCACCGTGCAGACGACGGTGTTGTTTACTGGTTACCACGATGGTCTTTGGGCACCATACCAGTTTATTTGTACAAGTATGATGAATAAAACAGGTAGATATTTATATATAATGTGTGTATATAGCGTAATAACACCACACAGTATTGTTGGAGGAGATATATTAGTGCGTCTGGCCTTGAGGGCGGCAGCCATCAGCTGACTGTGTGAGATCCCACGTCTTTGTGCCTTTACTCACCATACAAGCTTAGATGTACAGTTATGGTGAACAAAACATGTAAATACTTATATATAACGTCTGTATATAAGATATATAGCGTAATAACACCACACAGTATTGTTGGAGGAGAAATATTAGTGCGTCTGGCCTTGAGAGCGGCAGCCATCAGCTGACTGTGTGAGGTCCCACGTCTTTGTGTCTTTACTCACCATACAAGCTTAGATGTACAGTTATGGTAAACAAAACACGTAGATACTTATATATAATGTCTGTATATCGTGAATTATAGAAAAAACAGTATTGTGGGTGAGTCAGATGACTGGAGGGAGGGCGGGAGTGGCTGGCTGGTACACGGCGGTCACTCCTCATTACTTTTTGACTCATAATAGCTACTTAGTGGTTCGTTATAGTGAACAAAACATGCAGATGCTTATATATAACCTGTGCTTATAGTGTAATAACTGACAAAGTATTTGTTCACTGATTGATGAACATAATTGAATCAACAATATGCACACCATATTTTTGAGTACAGCGATGATTCACTCATTTTATTATATAAATATATCAAACTACACACTATTGAATAATATTACAGCAAAAAAACTATGAAAAATCAATCAGAGACATTGAAATATTTAGGTAATTATCTCTTTGTGACAACTCCGGCCTGACAGCTGGCGAGCAACAGACCGCCTGGGACGCATGCTGAGTCAGCGCCTATAATTTGCCAGACTTCCCTGCCCTATAGCTGGCAATATATGCCACTTACGATTTTTTTATTATTTTTCCCGTGATCAGTGAACACAAATTAACAGGTTAGGAAGAAAAAATATATATTTTTTTTTTTCAAAATGACATGCGCCAGTGGGGATGACAGGATATTAAACCCCGAGCATGCATTATTTTATTTATTTATTTATTTATTTATTTATTTATGCATATACAAGAATGTACATAAGGAATGTGAGGATACAATTATGGTAATTACAGTCTTGTAAAGCCACTAGCACGCGCAGCGTTTCGGGCAGGTCCTTAATCTAAGAAAATTTTAAGGAGGTAAATACTTGCAAAATTTATAGACAAAAAAATGATAACAGATTACATGGAATGAAAAAAAAAAGATGAGAGAAAATTATAGGTACAGTATATTAAAGCACATAGGTAGCTATGATTGATTGCAATGACAGCTTAAAATGGTAGTTGACAACAAATTGGTAGGCACAATACAGCAGAAACAATATAAGATTGATTGCAATGACAGCTTGAATGGTAGTTGATAAAAATTGGTAGTCACAATACAGCATATGGCTAGCACATAAAAGAAGACAGCAATGAACACAATGATAAGGTTGTTTGATATTACATAAAAATTAGGAGATTGGGTACCACTAGGTACAGAGCAAATTTAAAGCTCAGTGTAGGAAACTAAATAGATGAAGTTAGGTACTTTTTGGTTTTGCTTTTAAATAAGGCAAAAGTTTTACAGTTTTTCAATTCACTAGGGAGTAAGTTCCATAGACTAGGTCCCTTAATTTGCATAGAGTGTTTACACAGATTAAGTTTGACCCTGGGGATATCAAAGAGATATTTATTTCTGGTGTGGTGATAATGGGTCCTATTACATCTGTCCAGGGAGAGTTTCAGAGCATGGTTTGCATTTAAGAACAGGGTTTTGTAAATGTAGTTGACACAAGAGAATGTGTGGAGGGAGTTAATATTTAGCAAGTTTAGAGATTTAAACAAGGGAGCTGAGTGTTGTCTGAAAGCAGAGTTAGTTATTATTCTGATAGCAGATTTTTGCTGTGTGATGATGGGCTTAAGGTGGTTTGCAGTGGTAGACCCCCATGCACAGATACCATAATTAAGATAGGGGTAGATTAGTGCATAATATAGTGAGAGGAGAGCAGAGTTAGGAACATAATATCTGATTTTGGAGAGTATACCAACTGTCTTAGAGACTTTCTTAGTTATGTGTTGAATGTGGGTGCTGAAGTTGAGTCTCTTGTCTAGGAATAGGCCAAGAAACTTGCCATCATTTTTATTACTGATGTTAATGTTGTCTATCTGTAGCTGAATTGCATTTGATGATTTGCTTCCAAATAAGATGTAGTAAGTCTTTTCGATGTTTAATGTTAGTTTGTTCGTTGACATCCATAAGTGGACTTTTTTTAATTCATTATTCACAACATTATTTAGTGTATGTGGGTTGAGGTTTGAGTAGATAAGGGTAGTATCGTCAGCAAACAATATAGGTTTGAGAATATTAGAGACATTAGGCAGATCGTTTATATATATAAGAAATAGAAGAGGTCCTAAGATGCTGCCCTGTGGCACTCCAACGGTAATTGGTAGAGTGGAAGAAGTTGTATCATTGATGGTTACATATTGGTGTCTGTCACTAAGATAGGATCGGATGTAGTCAAGGGCAAGGCCTCGGATTCCATAATGCTGGAGTTTAAGTAAGAGGTAGTTGTGATTAACAGTATCAAAGGCTTTTCTTAGGTCAATGAAGAGTCCAATCGGAAACTCATTTTTGTCAAGGGCTGAGTAGATAATGTCAAGGAGACTAATGATTGCATCATTGGTACTCTTTTGGGACCGGAAGCCAAACTGGCAGGGGCTGAGTATGTCGAATTTTACGAGGTAGGAATAGAGCTGTTTGCAAATAATTTTTTCAAATATTTTTGATAGAATGGGTAGATTTGATATTGGTCTATAATTGTTTATGTCCGCCGGATTGCCTCCTTTATGGACTGGCGTTACTCTTGCTTTTTTGAGGATATCAGGGAAGGTGTGACACTCTATAGATTTGTTGAACAGTAGTGCTATGGGTGGGGCAAGGGCATGGGAGGCTCTCTTGTACACAATGGACGGAATTTCACTGGTGTTCCCTGCCTTGGTTTTTAGAGAGTGTATGATGGACACAACATCTGCCGGGCTGATTGGTGAAAGGAGAAGAGAGTTTGGATAGCTGCCTGAGAGATATGTGTTAATATGTGTCTGAGTCTGTGGGATTTTACTGGCAAGATTAGCACCAACCGATGAAAAGAAACTATTAAATTCATTTGCCATTTCTAAATCAGTTGACGGTATATCCCCATCCTTGTAGAGTTTTATTTGGTTATGTGAGTGTTGTTTAGTTCCTAGGATACTAGAGACAGTTTTCCAAGTGTTTTTCATGTTGCCTTTTGCTTCATTGAATCTATTCACATAATATGCAAGTTTTGCCTTTCTTATGATACTGGTAAGCATTGATGAGTACCTTTTAGCTACTTCCTTTGAAACTAGGCCAATCCTAACTTTCTTTTCATATTCATGTTTCTTGTTGATTGAGTTGAGAATGCCACTTGTGAGCCATGGATTGTTTAATCTTTTGTCAGTTACTTGCTTTGTAAGAAGGGGACAATGAAGGTTGTAGAGGCTTAGAGTTTTGGAGAGGAAGAGGTTAGCTAATGAATTTATATCATGGGTATTATTGAATTCAGAATCCCAGTTAATATTGTGAAGTGCCTCTGTAAGATTGTCTAAAGCTGATTCACTGTGTAGCCTAAATGAAAGTTTCTTGCTTTTTGGTGGTGTTATGTCCATGTTCGCTATGAGAAAGGTAGGATAGTGGTCAGTTGTTCTGTCGTAGATTATACCAGATACAAGGGGAGCTGTTATGTTTGTCCATATGTGGTCCAAGGTAGTGGCTGATGTTTGAGTGACTCGGGTAGGTTTGGTGATAGTGGGGATTAGCATACAGGAGTTCATGCTGTTAAGGAAATAGTCAACTTGAGAGCAATTTTGTTGACCCAGGTCAATATTAAAGTCTCCTCCCAGAATGATGTGGTTTTTGTTGAGATTGTTGTTTATAATAAGATTCCTTAGGTTGTCTGAGAAAGAAGCTATGTTAGTATTAGGAAATCTATAGATGGCTCCAATAGTCAAGGAGGATTTAAGGGATTTAATTGTAAACTGAGCAAAAGTATATTCACAGTAGTCATCTCTGTCACTAATAACACTGTTGCAGATAAATGTATCTCGGTAATATATAGCTGTGCCACCACCTTTTTTATTAGGCCTACAGTTATGAATGGCTTTATAACCAGCTAAGTTGTAGAGTTGGGTATAGTCTTTATTTAGCCAAGTTTCTGTTAAAATAATGAACGATAGGTTAGTACCTAGTGCTGTGAGTAGTGCATTTAAATCGTCAAAATGTTTACCAAGTGATCTAACATTTTGGTTATAAACTGATAGATAGGTGCTATTTTGGAGTTTGTTTTTAGCCTGGTGTGCTGTGAAATACTTGCAATAATGATGATCAATGTGCTGGTTGGTATAGATATGAGACAGAAGATTTTGATCAGGATCAATATCAGTGTGCATAGGGATGCAGAGGGATCACGATACAAGATACACGATAAAGCAAAACACAAGAACACATTCATCAAATGTTAATCACACATCAAACACATTAATCAAACAATTAATCAAACATTAATCATTCATCAAACACACAAGAACACATTCATCAAATGTTAAAGGTTAATGATGAATAAAATAGGTAACTGAAATTATTTTGTATTGATAGTGTTATAGATGATCCTGACTAGGATAAAGACCATGTACAATGTTCAGATATCAATTAATACAATGTTAGTTATGATAGTTACAGCATGAGGCACAGGCATAACACCCAGTCATTGTTTCCTGCATCTGCGCATCATGAAACGACCTTATGTACCTTCGCATTATAACCCTGTTGAAATGGATTCATATTCAGGATTTTGTGACAGGAATGTGATAATAACAGCAGTTTTGTAGCTAGTTATAGTGAAATGTGTGGAATATTGTGGGCATTGTCTTGCATCATGTGACTGCTGGTGTCGTCTGCTTGTGGCTCCATGCTGTGTTTTGATTTCATCACTGTACCCACTAGAACTGTTTATTATATTGTTATGGTGCATATAAATGGTGATAGTGATATATAACGTGTGTATATAGCGTAATAACAGCAAGAATACTGGTTGATCTAAGAATATAATATAAGTGTCACCATATATGAGCCCCATATTCTTGAGAATAGTGGGGCACACATTTAACTACCAGATATAAATTCCACAAATTACTCCCCATTGAGTAATATTACTGCAAAAGTCTAGATAATGTATAAAGCCATTCACAGACACTGAAATAATTATGTAAAAATGTATTTGGGGCAGCCCGTCATACTCGGCAGTCAGCCGCTAGGCTAATCTTGGATTCTTGTTCTGTGTAAATAAACTCTCAAAACACGATCTTTGTGGTTCATTATGGTACACAAAAATGTAGACAGTTATATTTAACATGTGTATGTACAGTAGTGTAATAAACAGCAAAACACTGATCTCAGAATATAATATACATGTCACACTATATGAGCTCCACACTTTTGAGCACAGCACTATTCCACACATTAAACTATTGTATATAAATTCTACATATTACCCACTTATGAATAATATTACAGCAAAAAACAGAGAAGAAACGAATAAGAGATTGAAATAATTACGATAAATTGCCTCTCCACGGGGTGGTGGGAGTTGGGTGTCCCCATGCACCTCATCACTCAGCGCCCATTAATTGTTCAACTTCTCGACTCCATCATGGCTAAAGTATGTCACATACATTATTTTATTTTAGTTTTCTGTGATTAGAGACAGTATTTTAACAATACTGTATAAGAAAAGAAAATAATTTTCTGGAAATAATTTATTTTCTGCGCATCACAGGGGTGTCATATGTTAAGGCAGTGCAGTGGTTAAAGGCCACTTGAACTATATTTTCTATCAAAATATTAATTTTTGTTTACAAAATTGGAGTGTAATTTTACTAGGAATGTTATGAAAATGTAATTTAAATGTTAAATGTTTTGGTTTAATTTCTGTGAGGAGCCCCGTTGGCTCCCTGAAGCTAACCAAACTGATATGTGCTATATTAGTTTTGGTTCATCGGTCATAGGGTGTGTTAATAGTTTTTGTTGTTCTGTTACTGATCGGGTGTGTTACGAGGTTCCGGTGTCTTCCTAGCTGGCAGCTTGCCTTGATGACTGGTTGGTGTGGGCTCCCTGCTGGTCAGCTAGCCTGCTCACCAGGGTTCTGGTTCTTTCCCAGCTAGTTGGATTCTGGTTTGTTCCCCTGACTGTGAGGCCTTCACGGTAGATCTTTTTGTCAGGTCTGGTTGAGGTGGGGTTCCAGTACCTTTTCCTCTGGACCAGCTATTACTCAGGGTTCTGGTTTGGCTTGAGTCATATCGAGGGAGAGTGGTTCTCCTGGTTCTTTTCTGGGGGGAGCCCCGTCGGCTCCCCGGAGCTATCCCAGGCTGATATGCTAATGTCAGACTTTGGCATCAGTCATGTGTATGGAGTTCTTAGGCCTACCGAGGACCACGGCCAGAACCGGGCCCCCTCAGAGAGGCAAGGGGAGCAATGGCCTATAGAAGCCCCCCGTGTGGTTGGAAGCATTCTATGTCTGCCATCGACCGGAACAGGCACCCAGAAAGGTAAGCGCCTCAAAACAAACCCCTATTCTGGTTAAAATTGCTACCAAAAGCCGAACTAGTGGATAGAACTCCCCAACCGAAAACAAGCAAACTAGTGTGACGTCACACACTGCCGCGCCGCTGTCTGCGCAGCTCCCCCCTCCCCGGGAGGGGGAAGGGGGAGCCCCAGACCCCCCACGCCGGCTACCCACACCTCAGTTCTTGAGGCTGATGCTATAGGCGATGGTCGTGTGCTCTGGCTCCGGTGTCGCTACTGCACTGTGCTTTGCGTGTGGTGTTGGTTTTGTGGGTGCGAGAGCCAGGAGTTATCTTCAGTACTCGGGCTGCATGCGCCTAGGGCTGCCTTCCCTAGGTGCCCTGTAAGTACTGCCCTTGGGGCTTGGGGCCACCTTCCACAGGCTCCTCGGGGTCTGCCTCTGCTGGTCCGTTTTACCTTTCGGTTTTTCGGCCGCCTGTTGGGCTCTTGGGTGTTCTGTTCTCCCTTGTTACCGGCAGGTAAGAGGCAGTTTGCACTGGTAGGGGCGCAGGGTGCTGCTCAGCTTGTATTTCCCGACATCGCGGCCGGCTCTGTTCCTTGGGGTTCGCTGTCCTCTTGCGGGGTTTTGTTTTTCTTTTTGTTTTTGCCTGGTGGGGGGTTCTGTCATTTTATTCAGTTTGTTTTTGCCCTTCCACTGTTCTCCTCGGTGGCGCCCCCTGCTAGGTCCCCGTGAGTGTACACGTCCCTGGGGTTCAGCTTTAGAAGTTTGCTTGGTAGTTTTGGGCGCCGGTTTGCAGCACCCTGCCTGGGACTACCTGAGCGCGAGTCCTCTTAAAGTAAACGCTCAGGACCCTGGGAATCCCCTAGGGGGCGCGTGGGTCCGATGGATGTGACCCCAGAGTCCCCACTCGCTGTGTGCGAGTTTGAGGGTTGCTCGGTCCCCTTGTCTCAGGGTGACCCTCATTGTTTTTGCCTCTGCCACGCTGCCTGTTGGGTCGGTGATACTTTCGACCCTGAGTCCTGTGAGTGTTGCTGCTTGCTTGTGACTCAATTTACCCAATCCTCTGATGATTCTCTTCGGGTACAGGCGGCACGTGCGTTGCAGTCTAGGTTTCGTCTGTTGCAACGCGCTCGGTTGGTTGCTCACCCGGATGCCCGGGGCTGCCCCGCTTTGCTTTTTGAGACCCAGACTTGGGGGTGGGGGTCGCTTCGATCCTGGTTCAGTCCGCACCTCCTCGTCCTTCCCCTTCTGTTCGTTCTGGTCCTGCCCCCCTGCTTCCGGCCCCGAAGTGTCTGAGGGTTTCGGGGTCGGAGCAGGGGTTACTTGATCTCGAGACTCGGGCAGTTTCGGGGGGTGCCCCTTCCTGGGGGGCGGCAGAGGCATTCGAGTCTTGTCTCCCGGCCGAAGCTTCTGGGTCTGACCACCTTTCCAGCTTTTCCGGCTGCTCCGTCCTTGTCTTGTGGGGTCGGGGCTTGGGGAGAGGACTCGGCCTCGGGTCCTGTGGTGAAGGACCTCGAGGCTGGGGAGGGGCTGACTTGGGGGCCTTGGGCCCCGCTGGACCCCGCCTGGGTTTTTCTTCCCTCTGAGCGGGGCTTATTGTTACAAGGAGTGGGGTTTTTTTTTTCCCCCTCTGCGTACGAGTTGGATTTGGTGTCGGCCCCTCCCCGGGTTCGGTTCCGTGTCCCCCTGGGTACGTCGGTTCCGTCCTTCCGGAGGTTTTCGGCTTATCGCATCCAACCTGGTGTGGTGCGAGCGGCCTTTGCAGCTTACATCCTGCATGACCCGGATTATGCCTCGGAAATGGATCCGTCCGCATTCAGGTTTGGGACTTCGTTCCCTTTCTGGCTCCGTTACGAGGTTCCGGAGTTGTCCTGGCTAGCAGACTGCCCCTTGTTTGGTCTGGATTCCTGGCATTCCTTCTGTCGTTCCCGCACGCTGGAGTGGCGGGAAGCTTCCACGGTGCTTCAGATTTTCCTGGGGGCGAGCTTGAGTACCTGAATGAGTGCTTGTTTGCCCCTGCCCTTCCCTGCGATGTGGGCGTTATTCAGCTCCATGTGCAGGTTCCCTCCCTTTCGGCGGCGCTCGTTGCGGAGGACTTGCGCGCCCGGGGCCTTTTGGCTTCGGCCTTGCGGTTCTTTTCCCTCCTGGAGCTGTCTTCGGATTGGCTCGTGGAGGATGTGAGGATGCTTGGGTCTGTCCCGGGGTCCGGCACCTTGTCCTCGGCTGCGCGTTCGTCGGCTGCCTTGTTGAAGCTGTTCACGCCGATTTTGCGGGATGCGGTTTCCCTGTTTTATGCTTCCCGTCTCGCGTGTCGGCAGGCGGTGCTGGGTTCCTCAGTGGAATCTGCTTGGGCTCTGGCTCTTAGGCGTTCTTCACCTTTTTGTCCTCTTCTGTTTGAGGAGTCGGCCGTGGCGCAGTTTATTCAGGCTGCGTCGGCGGCTTGTCGTCCGATGTCGGACTTGTTGGTTTTCCGGGGGTCCCGGGGTGGGTCTTCCCGGAAAGGTTGTGCCAGGGCTCGGGGTTCCTCTCGTCGTGGTAGGCCTCTGGTGTCAGGTTCGGGGTTGGCTCCTCCTGCGGACCCTCCCTCGTCTGGTCGGCGCGGTGTTCGCGCTGTGCGGGGTTCTGGGTCTCGTAAGGGTCGCCGGCCCTTTCGCGGTTTGCCCCATTGACGGGGCGATGGGGGGGCGGCTTGCGCTGTTCGCCCGCGCCTGGTCCCACGATTCGTGGGCCTTTCGGGTCGTGTCTCGCGGCCTGCGGTGGCGTTGGGTGGCCCCTCCCTCCTTTGGGGGGTCGGGGCTGGCAGGGCAGGTTTCTTCCCCTGCGCTCTGTCGAGTCGTCTTGGAGTGGGTACGCTTGGGCGTCGTCGAAACGACGTCGTCCCTCAGATGGGTTTCCCGTCTGTTTCCGGTTCCGAAACGGGACTGCGCGGACCTGCGGTTCATTCTGGACTTGTCCCGTCTGAACCCCTGGGTTCATTGCCCCTCCTTTCGGATGACTACGCTGTCTCAGGTTCGGCTCCTCTTGGAAGCTTGGATGGTGTCCCTGGACCTCCGGGACGCTTATTGGCATGTCCCGATTCATCCACGGTTCAGGGACTGGCTCGGTTTTGTTGTGGGGCGTCTGAGTTACCGCTTTCGTTGTCTCCCGTTCGGGTTGAACCTGGCACCTCGCGTGTTCACACGCCTTACACAGGTTGTGGTGGCTCGTTTGCGTCTCCTAGGTGTTCGGGTGTTGGCCTACCTCGACGACTGGCTGGTTTGGGCTCCCAGCCAGTCAGCTTGCTTCCTAGCCAGGGATTTGGTTCTTTCCCAGCTCGCCGGGTTCGGGTTCTTGGTGAACTGGAGGAAGTCCCATCTGGTTCCCTCTCAGGTTCGGACTTGGCTGACTCGCTTAGAGACTTACCAGGGGAGAGTTGTCCTTCTGGCCCCTTGGTGGCCAGCCCAGCCTTGGTTTCAGGCGCTGGTTGCTCGGTGTCCGAACCCGAGGGTTTTCCCGCGGCTCCGCCTCTTTCAGCAGATCGGGCCGGTACGTCACGTGGCTGGTTCGATCTTCTCCTCGAGTCTTCGCGTATGGTTTTTTTGACTTGAGTCTATCATCATCTCTATGGTGATCAGGTGGCCTCCTTGTTGGTGTCCCACCTGAGGGCTTCATCTCGGCGGAAGTATGAAGTTTCCTGGCGGTCCTTCCGTTTCTTTTTGCGTCTTCGTCGTGTTAGTTCCTTGTCTGTTCGGGTGGTCTTGTCCTTCCTCTCGTGGTTGTTTCAGGACCGTCATCTTATGCCTAACACTGTCGCTTCGTATCGTGCGGCTCTGGCGGAGCCGCTTCAGCTTGCTTTCGGTATCGATGTTACGTCTGCGCCGTTTCGCAAGCTGTCTCGTGCATTGTTTCACCACTGGCCTGCTCATGCGTCGCCTGAGCCGTCCTGGTCTTTGGACAGAGTGCTCACTTTCCTTTCGTCTCCTCATTTCGTTGTGGCCCCTTCGGTCCAGGATTGTTTTTCCAAGGCACTTTTCTTGTTGGCTTTGGCCTCTGGGGGTCGGATAGGGGAGCTTCATGCTCTCCTCCGGCGCAGGGGTTTCTGCTCTTTTGGTCGTGGTGATTGTTTTGTTCGTTTGCAGCCGTCTCCTTCTTTTCTGGCGAAGAATGAGACTGCTGCGTTCCAGAAGGGTCCATGGGTGGTTGATGCTTGGTTGGTCAGGCCGGGGGTGCATCATGTTTTGTGTCCGGTTGCGGTGCTTTGCCGTTATTTGCGCGCCACAGCTTCTGTGTCCGGGGACGCGCTGTGGGTTGATCCGGTTTCCCTTCTTCCCTGTTCGCGGGTTTGGGTCTCCCAGGTCGTCCGCAGGGTTATTAAGTCCAGCCAGCCTGCGGTCTATCCCCATGCCCATGACGTTCATAAGTTCGCGGCTCTTGCTGCCGTCTTTGGGAATATGTCTTGGTCTGATATTCGGGCACGGGGATTTTGGCAGTCGAACAGGGTCCTGGCTGCTCGTTACCTTGTGAATGTCCCTGGGCCCCGTCGGGCCTGTGTTGCTTTGGGTCGGCGGTTGCAGCCAGTTGTCTCGGCTTCGAGTTGAGGCGTGAGCGATGACCGCCTCCCGGGTAAGTCCCTCTTTTTCCATCTGTGGGTAGTTAGCTCCGGGGAGCCGATGGGGCTCCCCCAAGAAAACCAGCTTTGTATGTAATGAAACGCCATTTTCTGGGTGAGTCCCGGAGGCTCCCCGGCATCCCTCCCTCCCTCCGGTCGGTGTTTTTTTGCGTTTTTGACATGCAGCCTCAAGAACTGAGGTGTGGGTAGCCGGCGTGGAGGGTCTGGGGCTCCCCCTTCCCCCTCGCGGGGAGGGGGGAGCTGCGCAGACAGCTGCGCGGCGGTGTGTGACGTCACACTAGTTTGCTTGTTTTCGGTTGGGGAGTTCTATCCACTAGTTCGGCTTTTGGTAGCAATTTTAACCAGAATAGGGGTTTGTTTTGAGGTGCTTACCTTTCTGGGTGCCTGTTCCGGTCGATGGCAGACATAGAATGCTTCCAACTACACGGGGGCTTCTATAGGCCATTGCTCCCCTTGCCTCTCTGAGGGGGCCCGGTTCTGGCTGTGGTCCCCAGTAGGCCTAAGAACTCCATACACATGACTGATGCCAAAGTCTGACATTAGCATATCAGCCTGGGATAGCTCCGGGGAGCCTCCGGGACTCACCCAGAAAATGGCGTTTCATTACATTCAACGCTGGTTTTTTTTCTACTTGTGGGCCACTGGTTCTGTGACGGTGAACGCTCTTTGTTTGGATCCGGTTTCCCTGGTTCCCTGTTACAGGGGATTGTGTATCTTAGGTTGTTCGCAGTGTTATCAAATCTAGCTAGCCTGCAGTCTACCCTCATGCCCGTGACTTTAGAAAGTATGCGTCTCTTGCAGCAGTTTTGGCGACATGTTTTAATTTGCCATTCAGGCGTGGGGGTTTTGGAGGTCAAACAGTGTCCTGGCCACCAAGTACTATATCTTGTGAACTTTCCAGTTCCTTCCCGGTCTTGTGTGGCTTTGGGGCTCCTGTCGCGATTGTCTGTCCTTCCTCGTCTTGAGACCTGCGGTGCTGCTGCCAGATGGGTACATCCCTCATTTTACTTATCTTTGAGTAGTTAGCTTCCTGGAGCCGATGGCGCTCCTCACAGAAAACCATCATTGAATGTAATGAAAAGCCATTTTCTTGGTGAGCCCCGAAGGCTCCCCGACACCCTCCCTCCCTCCCTCCGGTCAGGGGTTTTTCATTGTTCAAGAACGGGAGTGGTGGGCTGTCGGCTTCCTCAGAGTAGAGCTAATGAGCGTGAGTGCTAGTTGCATGGAGTGTTGCTAGTTTGGTTTCTTTCTAGGGGAGTTATTTTGATCTTTTAGGTTGTAGATTGCACAGGTTAACCACACAGTGGTCTGTTTTGATTCGCCTACCTTTCTGGGTCCTTCCCCGGTCAATGGCAAGTATGACATATTTTAAATGTAAAGTGCTTATAGACCATTGCTCTCTTCGCCTCTCTGAGGAGGGCCAGGTTCTGTCTTGTGGTCCCCGGTAGGCATAAGGACTCCTGTGACTGATGAACCGAAACTAATATAGCACACATGAGTTTGGTTAGCTTCAGGGAGCCTCCAGGGCTCACCCAGAAAATGGCATTTCATTACATTTAATGCTGGGTTTTTTTAATCTTTGTAGGGATAGGACCAAAGAAATAGCATCACAGCAACACACAATATAACTGGATAACTGGGGTTGCTGTGGCTGCTGAGATCCAGCTGGAGGTAACAGTAGGACACCACCACCACCACCATCATTGTCTGTGCTTCTGCTCCACCACCAGGAGGTAACAGTAGCACACCACCACCACCACCATTGTCTGTGCTTCTGCTCCACCACCAGGAGGTAACAGTACACCACCACCACCACCATTGTCTGTGCTTCTGCTCCACCACCAGGAGGTAACAGTAGCACACCACCACCACCACCATTGTCTGTGCTTCTGCTCCACCACCAGGAGGTAACAGTAGCACACCACCACCACCACCATTGTCTGTGCTTCTGCTCCACCACCAGGAGGTAACAGTAGCACACCACCACCACCATTGTCTGTGCTTCTGCTCCACCACCAGGAGGTAACAGTAGCACACCACCACCACCATTTTCTGTGCTTCTGCTCCACCACCAGGAGGCAACAGTAGCACACCACCTCCACTGTCAGTAATTTCAAAACGTTATATAACAAAAAGTGCCGGGAAGATGAGACACCACGAGCGTAGCTCTCATCCTACAACTACAAATTACACTTAGGTAATTACCATTGTCTGAGCTTCTGCTCCCCCACCAGGAGGTAACAGTAGCACACCACCACCACCACCATTGTCTGTGCTTCTGCTCCCCCACCAGGAGGTAACAGTAGCACACCACCACCACCACCATTGTATGTGCTTCTGCTCCACCACCAGGAGGTAACAGTAGCACACCACCACCACCATTGTCTGAGCTTCTGCTCCCCCACCAGGAGGTAACAGTAGCACACCACCACAAGACAACGCTCTGCATTATTTTTCTACGTCACAGGACAACGTCTGCAGTCGATGGGAGGAGATAACCTTCGCACAAATTGCATGATTGTAAAGATGAAACCTCACCAATGTCCAGAGTGTGGAAAAAGATTTGATAAACTTAAATATATGAATTATCACAGAAAAGTTCATACGAGTATTAAACCTTTTGAGTGTCTAGAGTGTGGGAAGACATTCAGCCGTTTTGATCATATAGAAAGGCACAGGATGGTGCATACTGGTGATAAACCTTACGAATGTCATGAATGTGGGAAAACATTCAGCCGTCTTGATTATATGAATCAGCACAAGATGGTGCATACTGGTGATAAACCACATGAGTGTCCTGAGTGTGGAAAAAGGTTCAGTCTTCTTGGAAATATGAATCAGCACAGGATGGTGCACACGGGTGATAAACCTTACGAATGTCCAGTGTGTGGCAAAACATTTAGCCGTCTTTCACGTTTAAAAAACCACAGGATGGTTCATTCAGGTGATAAACCTTACGAATGTCCAGTGTGCGGGAAAACATTCAGCTGTCCTAGTTATTTAAAAACACACAGGAAGATTCATACTGCTGATAAGCCTTTAGAATGTGCTGAGTGTGGAAGAAGCTTTACAGAACATAGCAGTTATTCTAGTCATATGTTAATGCATACAGGGGATAAACCTCACGAGTGTTCAGTGTGTGGGAAAACATTCAGCTGTCTTGGTAATTTAAAAAGGCACAGGATGGTGCATACTGGTGTTAAACCTTTTGAGTGTACCGAGTGTGGAAGAGGCTTTGCAGACCGATGTAGTATTATAAATCACATGTTTGTGCATTCAAGTGATAAATTTTATGAGTGTCCAGAGTGTGGGAAAAGATTTGATAAACTTAGATATATGAAGAATCATAGAAAGTTTCATATGGGTGTTAAACCTCTTGAGTGTGCCGAGTGCGGGAAAAGATTTACTGAACGCAGGAGGATTATAAAACACATGTTAGTGCACACTAATGATAAACCTTTCGAATGTCCAGAGTGTGGGAAAAGATTTGGTAAACTTAGTTATATGAAATCTCACAGGAAGGTTCATCCGGGCGTTAAACCTTACGAATGTGCCGAGTGTGGGAAAACATTCAGCAGTCTTTCACATATAAAAAGACACAGGGTGATGCATACTGGTGATAAACCTTATGAGTGCCCAGTGTGTGAAAAAAAATTCAGCCGTCTTGAACATATGAAAAGGCATAGGATGGTACATACAGGTGATAAAGATTTTGAACGTGCCGAGTGTAGAAGATTTACTGAAAGTAGTGGAATTATTAGGCACATGATGGTGCATTCAGATGATAAACCTCATTAATCCTGGTGTCTTGTCTCTAGGGCAGCAGTTCTTATTTTTTGTACTCTTGAAATATTTCCGGGTCATACTTTCGATACTCACACAGGCACTTCATTGTCAGCTGAAAGGAGACAATAGCTGACATTGCTCTTGATGCTGGTTAAATAAGAAAAATTAAACACAAAAAATTACTTGATATACATTTACATGTGATTTCAATTTGCCTACAGCCTGACAGGGGGCCCTGACAGTTGAGTGGACAGCGCTTCGGATTCGTAGTCCTGAGGTTCCAAATTCGATCCCCGGTGGAGGCGGAAACATATGGAGCAGAGTTTCTTTCACCCTGATGCCCCTGTTACCTAGCAGTAAATAGGTACCTGGGAGTTAGACAGCTGCTACGGACTGCTTTCTGGGGGTGTGTAACAAAAAGGAGGCCTGGTCGAGGACCGAGCCGCGGGGACGCTAAGCCCCGAAATCATCTCAAGATAACCTCAAGATAAGATAACAGTATTTATAACTATCTCATGTGGAACCCCTAGTTACCTTGGTGTTCTGCAGAACACTAGTGGAGAAATGCTGCTCAAGGACTGTGGCGTATCCAGGGTATAGCAAGTATGGCATGTGTCCTGGGTACCACTTGAAAGGAATACCACTGAGCACTTTCTATCAAAGTCAGATTAGCTATCCTCGGATAGTGAAAAAATTATTTTCTTCAGATGTATGATCCATCTTTTTATTATATTATTATTTATTATATGTAGCTAATGGAGTGACAGTTTTTCCTTTAATTACATATAATGATGATAATATTACACACAAATCACAATAATGTGATATATCAAATGAACAAATCAACAAGGGCCTTGATTCAATTTCAAGTTCAAGTACACTTATTGAAACAATAAAATATATCTCAAAGGGATAGAGTAGCTTAGGCTATTTCTACCCCCCTCCCCCCTAAGGGTAGAAACTACATGGGTTTAACCACAACATGGTTAAACCATGTCCTCATAAACCATGTGGTGCTGGTACAGTTGACTAGAGCGCATCTGGGAACACTCAGGGCATAGGTTCAAACCCTCATCAAGGCCCTTGTGGACTTGTTCATAATAATAATAATAATATGATGATGATGATACTGTGCCGACACTGTCAATAACAATCTAAACAAGAAGTGTGAGACATTTGGCGAATTATACAGCTCTAATATTGATGGACAGCATCAACATGCTGTCATCCATCATGTTGATGGATGATGAAGAAATTTTAGATAACACAATGTCAATATCAATTCAGGTCAGCGTGAAAATATGAAGACCTGAAGAGCTTCTCGAATTTATTGTTCAGTATGGAGATAAGAGCGTCTTCCCTAATCTTCGCACTGCGATTCGGATAATGCTAACCATCGCAGTTTCTATCACCAGGTGTGAGAGATCATCCAGCAAGTTAAACGTAATACTTTCATATTTGAGAGCCTCCATGGGTCATGGCAGACTGTGACCTTGCCCTGCTGAGTGTAGAAAGAGAAGAAACTGAAAAGACTGACTTTGACCACATCATAGACTAATTTGCATCAGTGACAGCAAGGAAGCTGTAATTCTCATGTAGTGTCATAATTTGTCATTTAAAAGAGTAACTAGCTTGACAGGTATTTTTTACTTATTTTATGATACAGTTACCTGAGAGATGGTGTCAGATGTTTGGACACCATACCTTGATATGATTTCGGGGCTTAGCGTCCCTGTGGCCCGGTCCTTGACCAGGCCTCCTCGTTGCTGGACTGGTCAAGCAAGTTGTTGGATGTGGTTGCTTACACCCTGATGTATGAGTCGCAGCCTGGTTGATCAGGTATCCTTTGAAAGTGCTTATCAAGTTCTCTCTTGAACACTGTGAGGGGTTGACCAGTTATGCACCTTATGTGTAGTGGAAGCGTGTTGAACAGTCTCAGGCCTCTGATGTTGACAGAGGTTCTGACACTGGTACAATTTCAGTACTTGCCATAGGTGCTATATTCCCTAGATATGCCATACCTTGAGGTTACCTTGAGGTGCTTCCGGGGCTTAGCGTCCCCGCGGCCCGGCCGTCGACCAGGTCTCCTGGTTGCCGGACTGATCAACCAGGCTGTTGGACGCGGCTGCTCGCAGCCTGACGTATGAGTCACAGCCTGGTTGATCAGGTATCCTTTGGAGGTGCTTATCCAGTTCTCTCTTGAACACTGTGAGGAGTCAGCCAGTTATGCCCCTTATGTGTAGTGGAAGCGTGTTTGCTGCCATTGCTCAAGAGAAAAGGGGTAAGTAACCATATTAATTTTAAAAGGCAACCAATGGTGTGTATGTTGAATAAATTTTGTGAGTGTCATTTATTTTGGGATTATTGTATTACTATGTGCATATCAAAACATTACCTTAACATTAATCCAGTATGCTATTTGGAAGCTGCAAGCAACATCTTCAAAATGGTGTGCTGTCAACATGTCTGTTGGCCATTTATAAAGGTATTATTGTTTCCATAGCAACCAGTATTATTATTTTGTTTAGAAGTTAGATGCTCCTCATAGACCAAGCAAGCAGCAGGGCAGCTGGCAGTGTAGAAGGTTAGATGTTGCACATAGACCAAGCAAGCACTAGGGAAGCTGCCAATGTAAAAGTTTAAATGCTCCACATAGACCAAGCAAGCACCAGGGAAGCTGCCAGTGTAAAAGGTTAAATGCTCCACATAGACCAAGCAAGCAACAGGGAAGCTGCCAGTGTAAAAGGTTAGATGCTCCACATAGACCAAGCAAGCAACAGGGAAGCTGCCAGTGTAAAAGGTTAGATGCTCCACATAGACCAAGCAAGCAACAGGGAAGCTGGCAGTGTAAAAGGTTAGATGCTCCACATAGACCAAGCAAGCAACAGGGAAGCTGCCAATGTAAAAGGTTAGATGCTCCACATAGACCAAGCAAGCAACAGGGAAGCTGCCAGTGTAAAAGGTTAGATGCTCCACATAGACCAAGCAAGCAACAGGGAAGCTGCCAGTGTAAAAGGTTAGATGCTCCACATAGACCAAGCAAGCAACAGGGAAGCTGGCAGTGTAAAAGGTTAGATGCTCCACATAGACCAAGCAAGCAACAGGGAAGCTGCCAGTGTAAAAGGTTAGATGCTCCACATAGACCAAGCAAGTAACAGGGAAGCTGCCAATGTAAAAGGTTAGATGCTCCACATAGACCAAGCAAGCAACAGGGAAGCTGCCAATGTAAAAGGTTAGATGCTCCACATAGACCAAGCAAGTAACAGGGAAGCTGCCAATGTAAAAGGTTAGATGCTCCACATAGACCAAGCAAGCAACAGGGAAGCTGCCAGTGTAAAAAAATAAAACTATTCCATTTGTTAATAAATATTTTCTTATTTTTACTAAGATATAAGATTGTTTTATTTTTTTAAATTTGAATAATACTTTCCATTTATATCCAATTAACAAATATATATGAAACATGATGTAGTCTGTGATAGCTTTGTTAGAATTTTTTTATTAAGCATTTTATTGATCATTTAGCAGTGGGTAGTGAAACAGTTTGAGATACACTCAAGATGAGACATTTAATTTGGCATGAATAAGTTATTTTATCCAGGAATTATAAACTCATTAGTGTTCTCATATCAACTGATTTAAATTTTTTCATATTAAAAATACAGTAATGAAAATAATTTGATTGTTTTATTTTGGATTGAATTTGGCATTTATATTAGGTGAGTCTAACTTCAGCATACATGTTAGTGTGTCCGCAACATTAGTATTAAGGTAGTCTAACCTCACCCCTCTCAGGAGTTTTGCCTTGTTGTGGTGAGGGGCTCGCATACAATTTCCAGGGGCCAGTGTACTGTACAGTATATGCATCATACATGCGAAATGAAACAAATGTAGAGCACTTTTCCAGGTCATCCGACGACTTACTAAAGGGGGGATGCCCATGAGGTGCTTCTCTTGTTGGTAATGTAGGTGTCCAGGATGGAGGTGAGAGGGAGAAAGTGATCTTTGCACAGGTATAGACAAATGTATGACGCAGTAGGAGTCACATTAAAACGAGTGGGGGGAGGTTATGGCTTGGTATGCCACACCCCTTCTCCTTTGCTGACCTGGTACAGTACATGGTATCCCTTGGCTCTAGGGCCCAAACTTTTGAAACAATGATGCATGGCAACTAAAATGATTTGTCAAACAGGCTTGTGGGGCAAGCGACCAGGGCCCCCGGTTTGGACAGTGATGGAACATCAGGCTCTTTACCCTTGGCTATGATAACCAAATGACATGTCAGAAAATGAGAAAATGACAATGTTTCAAACTGTCCTGGACCATTATCATGTTGTGTAATAGAAGAGAGGAAGGGATAGGCAAATAGACGGTATGGTCCTTCCTTTTTTTTTTTTTTTTTTTTGAGATATATACCTTATATACCTTATATATTGAGATTTTTGAGATTTTTTGAGATATATAGAGTTGTTACATTCTTATACAGCCACTAGTACGCGTAGCGTTTCGAGCAGGTCCCTGGAATACGATCCCCGGCCGCGAAGAATCGTTTTCTCATCCAAGTACACATTTTATTGTTGCGTTAAACAGAGGCTACAGTTAAGGATTTGCGCCCAGTAAATCCTCCCCGGCCAGGATACGAACCCATGACATAGCGCTCGCGGAACGCCAGGCGAGTGTCTTACCACTACACCACGGAGACTGTTAATTTTCTGATGCGTGGTTTGGTCATCATGTCTTCAGCCACATTATTGTGATTCATCTTCTGCATATCACTTGGCCCTGGATACAGTGGGCCCAAACCAAGCATCATTTTTGGTTAACTGATCCTCTCAATTCCTCTCCCACTTCCTTTGTAGGAATCACCAATGGTGACTACCTCATCACCAGGAGTGACACTTGAACTGAACATTTTACTCCCTTAATAGGGGGGTGGGGGGATCTCGGTGCCATCACCATTTGAACATGAATAATTCCTTCAAACTGTGGTATGTTCCCTGATCTGTTTGGCCCCAATATGTGACCTAAGTATTGTGATGTTTGTCACAATGACAATATATGCCGTATTGATTTACACTTATTTAAGTACCTTATTAAATCTATGGATACTTGTTTTACCTTTAACCCGCACCCAAACTGGCACCTGCGGCATTGTTGTGGCCCCTTCTAAGAAGGCAGCCACCCACGCAGCTACTTTGTCCTACATTGATAAGACCCGGGTTTGAGTCTCCAAAAATGTTCAATTAAATGTTACCATTGAGACAATCATGC